TAATTTTTTCACATACATCATAAAAGTAGTAGTTCTCATGACACAACGTCACTTCTGTGGTGAGACCATTAAAAAGACCGGCCACTGTAGCACTATCACTTAGATAGCTCTTAACAACTCCATTTTGGATAAGTAAATCCGCATCTTTAGCAGTGTCAATTAGGTTATCCATGAAAAAAATATAATCCACTATGTAACTATCATACAGATAATGACATTGCTCCAGTGCAACGAGGTTTCGAAGTAGAGATTCTGTCCAATCGCATAAGGTCAAGTGGGGGATTTCTAGCCGTTCCATGGTATGTTTTATGTCAAGCAAGTGATTGCTTTTGGCCTTCTTAAACTTCATGCCGGCCTCATGTAGCTTTGTTGCATTGTGTATAGCCATAAAATTGACACTAAATGGGGTTGCTGATCTGGGAGTTGATGGTAAGTGACATGACCTTAACAAATCAACAAAATGTTTTACAGTACTGAAACTTGAGATTGATTTTTTGACGTCTCCGACTAGCATAAGATCTTTCAAATAACCTCGAACAAGTTGGAGGAAGGAATGGTGTTTCCGGAAGATAGGGGAAGCTAGGTTGAATAGACCTTCAAGTACAAAGAATGGAAGCTGATTTTCAAGTAAGATCAAGTCGGTACGTATGGCACTTACAAAAATTGGCTTACCCAAGTAATCAGTTTGTTCGTCCGGCATAAATTCGTTCCTCCAAACGTTCTCAATGATGAAACTGCTGTCCAAAAGAACCATCGTCACAAATTCATCACTGCTAAGCTTAATGCTTTCTGCATAATAATTTCGAGCCTCCTCTTCCCACGCCTTTATCGCTCCTATACAACTCTCTAAACTCAACCCAGCATGATCGAGGAATGGCTGCAGGTATCTCAATTTATTCTCTTCCATGGCTTGTAAGTCTTCTTTGCCGTGATGAAAAGGGCCAATGGAAACTACTTGAGGTGTGTAAGCCTTTTCATTTGTATCACGAACTCTCTTGGGAACTCTGTAGATGCTACAATCAGGTGATATAGGAGACACTTTATCTATCTTTTCTCTAATTGAACTTACCAATGGAATATCAACTGACATATGGTCTTCTGATATCTCAATTTCATGGATTTCTGTGACAATTCTTTCCATCCTAGCTCGTGTTGTCCTGCAACTACAAGGCTGTAATTAAGCGCATTGTTTTTTATCATCCATTTGGTGACATATGGAGAGACAGACTACAAAATATTGTTTTTTATTTTTATTTTTTATCCAAATTTAATTTGTTCAAAACTTTTGGTGATACGAGAATTTTTTTTTTTTTTTAAGGAGCTGATATTTGTCCTCCAACAATCTCCTCTAATACTCCAACTTCTTTTCTTAATAAAATAAAAGACTAAATTGTCCTCCCTAATTTTTGCAACCACTAATGGCCTTTTTCCTTTATTTCCTTTTGTGATATGTTCTATTTTCCTCTTTCAAACCTTGCAACTAAATATAATGAAATTAAACGAACTCACTGCACTGAACTCCCTATTGATCTTGACACTACACTTGAGACAGTATGCCGACTAAACGTAGGAGGAAGCTGCATCTCCCTGATCAACAATTCGGGTATGTTTTGATGCAGGGACGACCACAACAACTATGCCTTACAAGAAGGGGCACTCCCCTTTAATTTAACTATGGCTATCAAATACTACAAGATTTTTGCTTATATTGCATCGGAGGAGGTCTGTCACTGTCGGACCGCCAGGTCCATGCGTGACAATAAAAATGTAGTGTGTTGGATTTTTAATTAATTAATTATTTATTTGTTTCTTGGGTATTATTTTATTTTACGTGGGACCAATACATTTTATTGCATTATTTATTTGATGTGTGCCATTAAGGTATTATATATATATATATATATATATATATATATATATATATATAAATATGTATGTTGTGACGAGGTAGTTGGAGAAAATATTTGTTGGGACAAGGTGGGCATTGTTTTAATGATTGGAGGGCATTTTGGTAGTTTGATTTGTTTTGGCCCCATCTATTACCATACCATATACAAACATAATAGTGGACTACAAGTCACCGGCCATGACATATTACTAATTATTCTCTAATACATGCATCCTCAAGTGAGGATAGTCATATTTGATATCTTATACTTATGTTTCTTCATGTATTTGATATTTTTATAAGGTTGTGCTTTCTTCGATGAATTATTCTTCTTCATCTTCAAGTGAGTTCAAGACACAACATTTTAGAAGAAGTTGGTCTTTAATTTCTTCAATGAATTATGGTTTTCCATATATAGTTGAAAATATGTAACTAACATTAGTACGTATAAGATGTAAACATTGATTCAATCTATCTTCGAGATTAGGTTTCATTGTATTGTAGCAACAGAATGGTAAACAATCAAGAATAAAATATGAGTAAAATTGACAAGGATTAAGAATTGGAACACCGCATATGTTTTATTAGAAACATGTATTAATCGAAATGAAATCAACGTATAATTTTCTTCATAATTATTTCGTTAAAATAGTAAAATATTCTCTGACAAATCAACCAAATGAGACTATTCAAACATAGATCAAAATGTAATGTGATTTTTAATGGAAATTTGAAAAACAACTGGAGTACGAAGAGAGAAAGAGAACCGGTTGTCGGACCACAAAGCAATTAAGGTGCAGCAGAGGCAGATAAACTCATCAGCTCTCTTCAAATTTCAAAGACACACATAATAGCCAATTAATTGGAGAAAGCTTTCCTTTACATGCGTAGTGTTTAAACAAATAATTGAAAATGCGACTGTGGCTTAAATGATTAGGGGAGACACTTGCTTTTGCTTTGCCATGAACAGTGGACGTCATTGACTAGCTACATTGGTCTCCTACTCATATGAGATATAAATTTGTAATTGACATATTTCGTTGTCAAAACGAGTCCGATCGAACTGTAAATTTTCAGTTCGATTTGTCAAGAATCAATATCGGAAGCGGAATTGAATAAGTGATCGTATTCATTCTTCTATACATTCCAGGATGATGAGAACAACGCTTTAGAAAGGTAAGAGAGTGTGTTAGTACACTTGAGAGGTTTAAAATTAAGATTTTGGAAAGTTTTACATTCTATCCAACTTGAACTAGTTCAAGTCTCTTGACCAAGTTCAACTTTTGACACTTTTTAGTGTTTTTCAAGTCTAACCAACTTGAACTGGTTCAACCACCCTGAATGGGTTCAAGTGACAAAGTTGTTTTCCTCGAAAACTCACTGGCCAACTTAAACCAGTTCAAAGTCTTCAGCGGATTTTGGTAACTTAGTTTCCTACTATCTGTTGACTTCCTATTGTGCATAGACTTTTACTATATTGGTCATGAACGAAATTGACTTGTTTTCCAAGTTAAATTAGGTTTTCAAAAGTTTATAAAAACATGTTTTAGGGTTTTACGGCTTTTTGCATATAAAATTCTGATTTAATTGAGAGCCATCTTTGTGAGATTTTTGTGTATTTTTCATTGAGAGCATAAACAATATGCACATGAGTGATTTAAGGTTTTGTTCTTATTTTGATCGAATCAGAGAAAGCAGAATTCATCCCTTTTTACAATAAATTCAGATTTGAAGAAGAAAAGTGTTTAGATCACACTTTAAAGGAGTCAAGACATTCGCAGAGTGTTGTTGATCTACCGGCAATCTTTCTACGAGGTTCAAGGAGTAAGTCTGAAGTCGAGAGTTGTTGGACGGGGGAGTCGTAAAGCCAGGAGTGTTCAGCAAGTTGGGTCTTGGTAGAGTGAAGGGGTGTGAGCCTGAGTTAAAGTTCGGTGTACATTGCTTCAAATATAATGGATCGTTTATGCTCGGAACATCTAAAAAATTCTCGAGGTTTTTTCAATTGGTTTCCTCGCTAAAATCCGGTTTCACTCTAACTTTACTAGCATTTATTTTTGCTTTGTGGTTTGATTAATTTATTTTTATTTCGATAAATTTAATTTAAGTAAAAATTGGATAAAAGAACAAGTTGAACCTATTCACTCCCTCTAAGATGCTAATCCATATTATATTCCACAATCATTCCGCATTGTGCAACTTACTAGGCCAAGTGCTTATATTAATCTTGTAAAAATACGAAATCAAAGGGGGTAAATATATATTTTAGTTTGTAAAAAAAAAAAAAAAAAAAAAACCAGATTGATTAGATTGCTGAATGTTGAGATTTTACCTATTGTACAGCTGTAGGATTGAATTATTTTCTTATTGATTTAGGGTTAATTGGTAGGTAATTAGTTTCCCGATTATTGTATATTTAGTTATCTATGTTAGCTAGATATTACTCTATAAATTGAATGTAATACCATCGTAAATAATATTGAATAGAATTTTGAATTCTCATATTTGTTCTCTGAATTTCAAGATGGTATCAGAACCATCATTGAACCGTAGCTTTGAATCTTTTTGAATTTATTTCAAAGACCCATACATACATACCCAAACACAATTTAAAGACTCATACATACATACCCATACAGTCATCCATACATCTATACCCATCATCCCTTTCACCAATCTGCCAACCTAAAATCATCTTCCCTTTCACAAGCCGAGCCATCATAAGCCGCATCGCCATTGCCGGATCAAAATCACCGTCCTTCGCCCACGTTGGATCTGCATCGCTATCAGTCGTCGCCGGATCTGCAGCGACGACCTGCCGAACCGCTGTCCATAGCTTTGCCGATTCTTCTCCTCGCCGGATTTTCTCCATCATTGCCACCGTATCCACCTTAGCTGAACCAGCCGCCTTTCTGCTGCTGAACTGAACTAGTCGCCGTCTCCATCATCAGATCGCCGGCTGCTCTCCACGGCCATCGTTTTCCTTTGCCGAATCTGCCATCTCGGCTCTCATCTAAGTTTTTTTTGTTCTTTTTTGTTTTTGTCTCTTAACAGAGATGATTTGTTCTTGAAATTTTTTGTTTCATTTTTAATATCTATATATATATATATATATCAAAAAAAAAAAAGTTGAAAAAAAAAAAAAAATTCAAAACCGTTTGGCCACAAGTGTACTCCTATTCCAATTCTGGATTAGTTCAAAACTAAACCAATTTTTTGTATCCTCATTTGAAAACTGGTTCTGTGATAAACCAGTTCCGAAAAAAAAAAAAAAAAAATGCGTGAAAAAAATATTGAATCATCTAGAGCACACAAGTCTACCTCCAAATGCACTCATTGCAACTAGACTGGTCATACCAAAAGTCGCTGTTTCAAACTTGTGGGATATCTGAAATAGTGGGATCTTCGCCATTGGAAGAAGAATTCAACAAAGCCCTCCACTACAACAGTTGTTAAGACAACAGATATTTGTGGTAAGAATTTCAATATTTCTACACATGTTGCTAATAGTGCATGGATAATTAATTCTGGTGCCACAGATCATATGACATTTGATTCTAGACATGTTTCACCTTTTATTTTATCCTCACACAAATTTGTTTTTACTGCCAATAGGACTTCGACCCTAGTTATTAGGGAAGGATCTTTGACACTCACTGATCATCTGCATTTAGATTCTGTTTTAGTTGTTCCCTTTTTAGATTTTAATCTTTTGTCAGTCTCCCAAATAACCACAGCTTTATCTTGTGTTGTCATTTTTTGGCCTGATTTTTGTGTGTTTAAGGACATCCAAACAAAGCAGACGATTGGTTGTGGTATTCGGCGAGGGAAACTGTATTACTTGGACTTGCTGTCCAAAAGTTCTGACAAGTTACGACAAGCCTTAACAGTGGATGGTTCTGAGGGGGAGAGAAACAAATCTAAAATCTGGTTGTGGCATCGATGTCTCGGGCATGCTTCTTTTGGTTATCTGAAAAAATTATTTCCTAGTTTGTTTGAAAAATGTGATGTTTCTAGTTTCCGCTGTGATGTTTGTGAACTAGCAAAGAGCCATCGTGTTTCATATCCATTATGTTTGCATAAAAGTCCACTTCCTTTTATGATTATATATTCTAATGTGTGGGGTTCGTCCAAAGTCACTACTTTAGGTGGATCCCGTTGGTTTGTTACTTTTATTAATGACTGTACCAAGATGACCAGGTTGTGCTTGATAAAGTCCAAAGGTGAAGTGAACTTATTGTTTCAGAAGTTTCATAAAATGATTGAAATTCAATACAATGCACATGTTCAGGTTCTCCGTAGTGATAATGATGGAAAATATTAGAGTTTTGACTTTCAGCAGTATTTGGAAGCATATGGAACTATTCATCAAACCACTTGTTCCAATACACCCCAGCAGAACGGGGTTGCAGAGCGAAAAAATCAACCCTTGTTGGAGGTTGTTCATGCTTCATTGACAGAAGTGCATATGCCATTATCGTATTGGGGAGAAACACTTACCTCTGTAGCATATCTCATCAATCGAGTACTTTCTAGCTCTATTGCCTTCTGAACACCATTGTAGGCTCTCACTGACGTAATTGTTGCCCCAACCGTCGCCAATCTACCTCCTCATGTCTTTGGTTGTGTAGCATTTGTTCACCTCCATAAGCATCAACGCAACAAGCTAACTCCTCGAGCAAAAGGGGTATCACTGTTATCACCCTCCCACTCGACGAATGTTTATCATAATGGATGTTGTCTTCCATAAAGACTTGATGTATTTTTCCTCTGAGTCTGAACTTCAGGGGGAGTACTAGAATGAAATTCAGACTCTAGATTTTGATTATCACACTTTTGAGGACGGCGATTCTAGTGTTGATGACTCACAAGTTGGACCAACCAATCAGGAGTCGGGCGAATTGGATTCAAGTGGTATAAGTTTGGATCATAGTGGTGATGAATGCCGAGAAATGGAAAGTATGGCGCCAACTCCATCATCGTCCGAGTTCGAGTCCCTCGCACTGATATATCAGACCAATTGCCTGTTGAGGATGTTCCTGATTTACCGCGTCACACTAGAGGTATTCCTAAACCCACATACCCAAACTTTCTAATAAAGTTAAGTATCTCATGAGCAATTATGTGTCGGACCATCGTTTGTCAGAATCAAATTTGTCATTTGTAAATCAATTCCATACTGTATCTATTCCTAACAGTGTGCAGGAAGCCTTAGCTGACCATAGGTGGAAGATAATTATGAATAAGAAGATGAAATTCTTGCAGAAAAATGAAACTTGGGAACTCATTGATCCTCCACCAGGAAAGAAACCAATTGGATATCGATGGATTTACACTGTGAAGTATAAAGCCGATGGCACAGTTGAATGCTTTAAAGCAAGATTGGTGGCGAAAGGTTACACCCAAACCTATGGAATCGATTACACAGAGACGTTCGCACCTGTAGCCAAGATCAACACAGTTCGGGTCTTGTTATCTTTAGCTGCGAACTTGGATTGGTTATTGCAACAATTCGATGTGAAGAATGCCTTTCTGCATGGTGAATTATCTGAAGAAGTCTACATGGATCTCCCACCAGGATGCGTGATACCCGAAAAGCATAGTCGGAAGGTCTGCAAGTTAAAGAAATCATTATATGGGTTGAAACAATCTTCAAGAGCATGGTTTGGAAGATTCACAAAGTCTATGATAGCCTTTGGCTATCGTTAAAGCAATTCAGACCACACGTTATTTCTAAAGAAACAATAGGGTAAGATCACTGCACTCATTGTATATGTAAATGACATGGTGGTTACAGGGAATGATCCTGAAGAAATGAAGGCTCTTAAGAAGTATTTGTCCAGAGAATTCGAAATGAAAGATCTAGGTCCTTTGAGATATTTTCTTATGATCGAAGTATCTCGATCTAATAAAGGAATCTTTCTATCTCAAAGAAAATATGCCTTAAATCTATTACAAGAAACTGGTATGACAGCATGTCAACCAGCTGAGACACCAGTGGAAGAAGGACTGAAGTTATGTGTTGAGTCCAACCAAGTACCTGCTAATAAAGGAAGATACCAAAGACTTGTAGGGAGATTGATGTACTTAGCATACACGAGACAGGATCTAGCTTATGTATTGAGCATTGTTAGCCAGTTTATGCATGATCCTGGAGAGCAACATATGAATGCAGTTATGCGCATTTTGAGGTATTTGACATCTGCTCTTGGAAAAGGAATTTTGTTCACTAAAAATGCTGGTTATCAAAATATAGATGCATATACTGATGCTGACTGGGCTGGAGTAATAGATGATAGGCAATCTACTTCTGGTTACTTCACTTTTGTATGAGGTAATCTTGTTACATGGAAAAGCAAGAAACAACATGTTGTTGCTCGCTCGAGTGCATAACCTGAATTCAGAGGTATGACCCTTGGACTTTGTGAAACTTTGTGGTTAAGACTTCTCTTGCGGGATTTGGGTTATCTAACTAGGCAACCGATTCGATTATATTGTGACAATAAAACAGTATGTGATATTGCCCATAATCCAGTTCAACATGATCGTACAAAGCATGTCGAAATAGACAGATTCTTCATTAAGGAGAGGTTGGATGGAAAAATTGCAGAGTTGCCTAAGATTCGATCTGAAGATCAACTAGCCGACATTCTCACCAAAGAAGTCTCAAATCAAGTGTTTTCAAAAATTTTAGACAAGTTGGGCATGTGTGACATCTATGCACCAACTTGAGGGGGAGTGTTGAGATTTTACCTATTGTACAGCTGTAAGATTGAACTATTTTCTTATTGATTTAGGGCTAATTGGTAGGTAATTAGTTTCCTGATTATTATATATTTAGTTACCTATGTTAGCTAGATATTACTCTATAAATTGAATGTAATACCATCGTGAATAATATCGAATAGAATTTTGAATTCTCATATTCGTTCTCTGAATTTCAAGACTAAATAAGCACATCATAAGCTCATTATGATTAAAGTATTGTATAGCCAGTGGTCTAGCGATATTAACCTCTTACTTTCCAATGGGAGGTTAGGGGTTCAAGTCTCAGAAGAGACATATATGTATGAGTACCAACTAGGAAAAAAAGAAAGAAAGTATTGTATAGAGCTTAAAGATATATTTAGGAAGGTCAGGACATTAATGTCCATTAAACTAGAAGAAATTGGGGTTCGGAACTATAAAGAGTAAGGCTAAGAAGCAAATTTGTAGCTATTGTTGAAATAATTCTCTTACGGAGTGTTAAAATAATCTTGTTTCAAGGTGCTTTCCACCAATGCCAAAGAACCTTGCAATATGCATTCCACTAGTCTTCACAAATATCATATATAATGATAGTAATTCTGAGTCTACCATTACATATCTGAGGTGAGACTATTAAAGCAACCTGTCATTGCAAATTAATTTCTCATAACACATCTGAGGTGAGATTATTTAAGAAACCTGTCGTGACATGGATTGAATTTCAGAAGACTAGTTCATATTTGCTCACTATCTCATTTCCCGCCAATTATTATTATTATTTTATTTTAATTTTTTTCCATTTTCTGAGGAAAATTTTTCTATCCTTCCCAAAATCCAAGGCTAAATTACTCAAAGTCTTCCTAAATTATCCAACTTCCTCGAATGAAAGATTGTGTCTATCAATGATTGAGAGAGATGAGGTTTTGCAATTGGAGTTTACAAGTAAGCGGTTAAGGGTAAAATAGTAAAAACAGATCAGACACGAAAGGAAATGGACCACAAAGTGAGAAGGGGACAACTAACAAAGTGGAAATGGACTACAGTCTTCTTTCTCATTCCCCTGGTTTGTTGTATTGTCCCTTCTTTCCATCGTTCTGTTTTCCTAATTAATAATGAATTAGAAGAGCAATGAAGACACATTACATTAGGCGCACATATAAAACAAGATGACACCCGCACGTGGAGTGGAAGTATCGATTTTAGGATAGTGCATAACACTCCTCTCAAGTTCAAAGACTAATTTTTCTTACTCTTATCTAATTTAACTTTAATTTATTTATACTGTTATACAAGTATAATATTTTATTTAAGGGTAATTTACACAGACCTCTCTTATGGTTTACCATAATTAAAGGTAGCACTCTTCCTGTTTCAGATATTACGCGGTCCTCCTCTACTTTGGAAAATATCCTACACGGACCTCCCTTCCGTTACGGTCAACGCCAGTCAACGACGGAAATTGATGATGTCATCTACTATTTTTACTAAAATTCCTAAAATACCCTTATCTATATAATTTCATTTTATATTTTAAATATATATATATATATATATATATATATACTGATACGGAGTATTATATATATATATATATTAGGAAAAATTGGACAAGCAAGCTTCTGATCGGCAGCAAATACCAGAAATTAGAAATTTTGCCGACAGTGAAGACACGGTGGTTATGACGAGGACGGCGGCCAGAGAGAAGTTTAGGTCCCTTTAATTCTGCGCGATTCCGGTAAAAGGAACGATGGCTGCGAACAATTGGGTTTGTGGGTTTGACATTTGCGATTGGGTTTGTTGTAGACTAATGTACTGTGTGTGTGTGATTTGTTGTTACAGAAATTTTGAAACAGATGGATGAATTAGAGAGGCAATCGATGAAGCTGCAAAGGCAAAGACTCACCGAGATCGGAGATTGGAACTGCTTAGTGGCCAGAATGGAAAAGTGATTATTTTTAAGAATTTTTTTGATGGGAATTGCCCAATTCTTTAAGGAGAAAGAACAAATTGGGTCTTTATTGAGAATTGCTTTGTCAAGAAGGATGTAAGGATTAAGAAAAATACCCTTTTGTCGGAGGGTTCTTGTGCTGCTGGGGCCTTTCGTCGGATTCACTCGGCGGGAAAGAAAGAGGCATAGCTGGACTCGTAGACTCGACCATGACTTTGGGCCCTCTTTCTGTTCTCCGCGGCGGAGGCAGTAACGGCGCCGATCTCCTCCTTTGGGTGCCCCACCGCAAACGGGCCTCTATGAGAATCAGAAGATCCAGCAATATATTGGCGACCACTTCTTCATCGGAGGAAGCAGAGAGAGTGGGAATTGCGGCGGCGGCGGCAGTTTTGATCATAACTTTCTTCTTAAAGTTTACGGATTTTAAGACAATCTTCATGAATGCAATATCAACGAAAGAGGGCTCAAGAAGATTGATGCGGCAATCAACCACTTTTAAATGGAATTTTGGACACGATTAGAGGATTTTATAATTTTAATTTCTTAAGAATTATTTTCCAATTGAGCCTAATTTGGCTCAATTGATGACGACCACTTTTTCTATTTTCAGTGGTAGTCTCTTTAGATTAGTATTCAGTATTCCTTTTCAACCAATTTTTATGTTTTTTTGGTTCAAGTAAACTATTATTTGAGGTGATTAGGGTTTTGAATCATAATATTGGTATCGATTTGTTTGATCCATTATGATCAGTTCAAAGCTAATGGTGTTCTCTATTCTGTACATACACATGAAAATTTTCATTGAAATTTTGCTTTTGGAGAATATGACAAGCTGATGTCATGCCTACTTAATAACTGAGAGGGGTAGTTTAGTAATTTTAGATGTCAAGGAGAGGGTATTTCAGTAATTTTGACAGCTCCGTTGGTGTATTTAACAGTCCGTCACACATAAGGGAGGTTCATATAGGATATTTTCAAAAGTAAGGGAGGTTCGCGTAATTTTCGAAACAGAAAGGGTGTCGTCTGTAATTATGACAAATCATATAGAAAGTCTGTGTTGATCAAATAATATTCCGTGCCATTCTTTCATTCATTATTGCAAAATGTTTTTCGTTCAACTTATTAAAATTGTTGTAATATTCATTATATTATTGAAAGTATTGTGATTTGTGTAATGATATCTTTTGAGTTCATGTTATAAGACTTCTATCTTTGAACATGTTTTTGTATTAAATGAGACGTCTTATATTTATGTTATTGTGTATGAATGAATTTCTGTAAATTCCCAACAAAATATACTGCACCGTGACTTAGTACTTACTAATTATTGTCTAATACACTAAATGTTGTGTAGCCTAGTGATATTTTCTGCATCTCTCAAAATGGAGATGATTTGTGGATAGTAAGGATAAATGTGTGGATGAGTTCTTGCCAACAAATAAAAAATAAAAAAATAAAAAATTTATTGTCTAATACATCTTCAAGTGAGGAAGTCCATCTAATAAATTATCACCAATTTATGTTTCATATTTGGTATTTTCACAAGGTTGCAGAGTTCAAGATGCAGAAAATTCTTAAAAAAGAACTAAGACAAGGTATAAAATTTGAATCCATATGTCTTCATCATCATATAGTAGTAATAGGATTAAGAGTTGGAACCCCCCCCCACTTGTTCCGTTTATAATTATTGTGTTAAAATAGAGATCACAAGTATGAAACCATGCAAACTTAGATTCAAATATAATGTGGTCTTTATGGAAATTGAACAAAGAAACTGAAACATAGAGAGAGTGAGAGAACCTGAGCTGGATCTAGAGAAGAAACCGGCAGATGAAGTCAGCTTTCTTGAGAGACACAGATAGCCAGAGTGAGGCACCAATAATTAACTGCATCCAACATTCAACAAAAATGAGTGGCCATGTTTTACCAGCTACCATTTATGGTCCATCTAAGCATCATTGACTTGCTGCCTTGGTCTCCCACTTATATTTCTTTATTTTTAAACCCTAACTCAAAACAAAAAAATACATAGCCCAATCTCTGTCACTTAGGGACCACAAAAGTAATCCATCTCTTGCTAAACAATAAGATAACTTTCATGGATGTGCCTTGTAGGCCAGGTGGTGGGCGAGTCTCACGGGTTGGTGTGAATACCAATGTTCGAGCCATCCATGTTATTAATTACTAACTCTTCCCCTTCCCCCTCTAACTACTAAACCCACTAACCATTACCACGTAAAAAAAGAGAACTTTCATCACCATGGTACAAGGAAGTAAAAATTAAAGAAAAACCAAAATTGTATATAAAAAGCCCAATAGGGGTTTTCTCACTTAGAAGCTATGCAAACTTATTTTCTATCAAATCATTTATTTTAAACCTATGTAATTGTTAGGAATGAATTAACATACAAATTGAATAATCGATTAATTAAATTATATTCGAATAACTTATTCTGTAGATTAAAACAATATTAATTGTTAAGATTTAATAAGTTTTATATGTTATAGCAATAGTAGTCAATTCTGGATGATAATTACTTGGTATTCTCACTCATTTCATATTATTCTATGGATGAAGATTTGTTACCATTGGTTGTTTGTTGGTCTAGATTAATAGCTATAACTTGTACTCTCACTAGAGTAATGTGTTTTCACTTCTAAATTTGCCATTTCAGATTGTTGTTTCTTAATTTGTTGAGAGTTGAGACAAAATATTTTTTTGTTGAGAGTTGAGACAAAATATTTTTGTAATCTTATCTTATCTAAAATAATCATTTATAGGTTATATTAATTAATCCAAACTCAAACAGAGTACCTTCTATAAGGTTTTGAAAAAAAGGGGTATTATGTATTTTGGGTTATAAGATGATCCTACAGTATTCCTTATTATTTCAGTTACATTCTTTCTTTGAACATTGGTTGATTTTTGTGTCCCAACCTCGCCAAGTCTGTCAATTTTGAAGGTTTTAACCATTTCTCTGTAATCACTTATAAATTCAAAGATCACTCGGTAGTCAGTTTAAATACGAAGTCAGACTAAGTGTATTTATGCTTTCGTGAAATAAACTGTTCTTAACCAAGCAAATTAACAGTTTTATGATTGGCAAGCCCTCTGGATCAAACTTATTATGATTATATTTGTCATGATAATGCATTTGATGTCTCAAGGACTTTTTTTCTGCAAACGTGGATGTGTTTTCTTTCTTAATAAAATCATGACCTTTCGCCAAGGGTTGGGAAATAAATAGGAAAAGAAAAACCCTTTGTGACATATTATTGACAAAATGATGGTCAGAAAACATGACTTATTCAACAAGAGGTAAGCAATATTTTACTTTTGCCTATCAAAATTTGTCCCGGTAAAAAATCATTTTCTTAAGACATCAAATGCATGGTTTTCATCCAGCATAACTATTTGCTAGGGTTGCAACTTGGGCGGGCTAACCCAGCCCAACCCAAAAATTTTGAAATTGGGGCTTATATTCACAAATCATGTTCGGGTTGGGTTTTGTTAAAACTCAGACATATTCGAGTTAGGCTCGAGCTCAACCCGAACCCAACTCAAAACCCGAAATAAAATTTTTATTTTTTTATTTTTCTCCTTTCTCTCTCCTCTCTCTTCTTTCTCTTTCTCTCTCTATTGCCGTCCATGCCCTTCTCTGCAATCCTAAAATGAACAGCGAAGCTTGAGAGTTGAGAGGGGGGCATGCTTGAGAGTTGAGAGACAGTGGCTGAAGCTTGTGAACGGTGAACCTGAACTGGAACAGCGGGTGATGGAAACTAAAAGAAATGGGTTTTGGTTTTTTGAACAATCTGAAATGATATAAGCCAATATGGGTTTTGATATAGGTAATAGGTTTTGAACTTTTGATTCTTGCAGACTGATAGATAAACTGAAATATATGGGTTTTGAACTTCTAAGGGGTAGTTTGGTTCACATGCAATTTTTTTTTCTGTTATTTCATAGGAGAGGAGAGGGAGGAGAAAAAAAAAAAACAGGTCAGTGATGGCATTGGGTTATATGTTTGTGTATCTATATATACATATATATTTTATTGGGTAATTATTAGTGAGCAAAAAGGTCATTTACTATTTTAAATATTTTTATCATTTTAATAATATAAGGAGATAAGTAAATTCATCATAAAATCTAACATTGGAGGTCTTTGCCAAAAAAAAATGACAAATCTCTGTTTTTTTACAATTAGTCCAAACCTCAACGAAGGTAATTGTAGTTTACCCATTTAAAAATTAGCCTGTTGCAAAACATTAGATGTTTGGAAATCAAGTAGAATAAATTTTCATTGTGCTCAGATGATGTGAAATAACATAAATGTTTCTAACAGAAATATTAGCTTCTGTAGAACTTGGAGCTCTGAGTTTTCCACTCAAATGGAACATCATTCCTGAAAAAAGAAAATTACAAGCATTGCTCTCAAGACTAAAAGGAAAAATTTAGATAATGCCACCAATGAAAGACAACATGGATCAATTTTGAAAATAAACTACATAATATGCTAAAACTAGTAATTAGGAAAATCAGTACAATGCAGAATGGAAGTCATTTAAAGGGAGACTATAGAACATATGGCTTGTATAAGAGTAAGTCCAAGCAGGATCACTGCGGCAATGGTTGAAGCAGTTTTCCATGGAGTGCTCAAATAATCACTTGTAAATGTTGCCCTCCACTTGTGCTTCGGATCCCTACAATATTCATTCAATTTTTCACCTATACCATAATAGAAATAGTTGGGAGTCCACAATATCATTTCGTTGGTGAGATTATTAAAGAGAGTTGCCACGGCAGAACAATCGCTCAAGTAGCTATCCAAAATTTCATTTTGGATAAGTAATTCGGCATCTTTAGCAGTGTCAATAAGGCCATCCATGAATTGAATATAATCAATTATGTAGCTGTTGTATCGATAATGAAATTGCTCAAGTGCCATGAGGTTTCTAAATAAAGATTCTGTGGAGTTATTTACAGTAAATTTGGGGATTTCCAACACTCCCCTAGCATGTCTTATGTCTGTTAGGAAACGTGTAAGTTTTAAAAACTTTTTGAGGGATTTTGATTCATAAATCTTGATTCCTCACATAGAGACAAGTTTTATACAAAAATAAAAATATGATGTATCATTCAATTAATGGATTGAATACTTACATCAAAGGTCTGAGTAAACCTTTAAATCTTTCCTCTAAAGTGAATGTTCTCACTTATTGTAGATCCCTTAGCAAGATGCCTTCTCCTTGGATCTCCATCTTCTTGGTAATTGTTTTGCCTTTAGGAATCACTAATAAGCCTCCATGAAATACCTTGAAAAACTAGGCTTGTGGGAGCCTCCATTAGATGAGAATATAAACCCTAATTTTCTAGAGAGAGAAAATAAATTCCTTTTTCCTTCTTCTAAAAATCATCCCCAAAATATACACAGACCATGTATGGCAATATAAAAGTAAAGAAAAGGAAACAACGAATCCTTCTCAATCTCTAATTTACATGTCTCAAATCTAATATGATTCCAATATCAAGTTGGGCTATGAGTGAGAATCCATTGGGCCTATTATTTTATTGGCTACAATGAATTAATAATTGGCCCGGTCCATGGACCCAATTCAATTAATTCATAAATTAATTTCTACTCCACTAAAAGAAATTAATTGAACTCCAATTAAATAATAAATAACTTCTAAGTCAATATTACACTTTGACCCCTCTATGCATAATTAGTTATCGGATAAATAAAGTCATCAATCCGACTACTTAATTAATATATTTATTTTGGTACATTTGATTATTTCTGACTCGATCACAATAAAACATTTGTTTGAAAAAATAATAATTTAAATAAATAAATATATAATAAATCATTTTGTCTAAAAACACACGAAGGCCTTCGAATTTACTTTGTGATCAACCATAATCAATACAAAATAAATACAAGTAGCAATGATGCAAATATTGAAAATATAACCCTCTAACTATTAATCACATAACTACCCAAAGTGTCGATCTAAGGATCCCGAAGAATCCGCCGAACAAATCAAAGTAATTATTAATTAATAAAAGAGTCTATAATTTTTTCATGCTTAAGAGTCAAATGCCATGACTATGATAGGGAGCAATTGCATACGACGGCTCTCGCAATATATCTCAACGTAACGCGGATCCAGTTCAAATCTGAATTAATTATGAGTCCATCCATAATTACCGACTATGAACAATTTATAACTACTATTTATATATCATGCATTGATTGCCATCACTTACATATATATACAAATATTTCTTGTAATCACAGGGACACTATCAATTTCATAGTGAATCGAAACATAATACATTGAATTCACCAATTATATAAATCATAAATATTTCAGATATGTCAGGAACATATGTCACTATAATCCAGATAGGAATTTGCTACGCCAGGGCATATAAATCCCAACAGCTCCCACTTGCCCTCATAGCCAATTCAAATTGCACCTAACACCAATGTTATCCAGATGATGATCAAAATTATTGATCAATGACACCTTTGATAATGGATCAACAAAGTTATATTCCAATGCAATGTTCTGGCTACAAGTACATTTTCTTGCCGGACAATATCATATAGAACATGATACTTCCTCTCAGTATATCTTGAGTCATTGGTTTGGACTACTTCTGCACTATTGTCGCAACATAGCTCAATAGGCAGGCTAGTATACTTCACAACCTCTAAATCAGTGAGATCAAACCAATAGGCTTCCTTTGCCGCCTTTAAGGCTGCAATGTATTCCACCTACAGATTTGAGTCAGCAATTGAAATCTGCTTAACAATCTACCAACTGATTTCCCTTCCATTAAATGAACATACACTAAGTCATGAACCTCATAGTATGATATCATTGGTTCTCCTTAGGTACTTAATGATATTTTTCACAACAGACCAGTTATCAAGTCCAGGATTGGACTGATATCATCTGACTATCCCTACAATGTAGCGGATGTCCTGTTCGGTATAGACCATGGCATGTATGAGACTCCCATATGCCAAAAACATATAGTTCCAGTCTCATTTGCTCAATCTCCTCTGCTAGTCTTGGAAAACTACTTACTAAAGAGAGCAATCCATATCAATAAAGTAAGAACTCATTCTTTGAGTTATGCATACCAAACCTGGTCAAAACTTTTCCAATGTAGGATTATTAAGATAAGCCTATTTTCCTTTTAACCTAATCTTGCAAAAGTTTGATCCTAGAAATATAGCTTACATCTTGAAAATCCTTCATTTAAAAGTAATTGAACAACTACCTCTTTATCGATGACAAAACTTCCACATCATTCTAAATGAGTAGAATGTCATATATAAATATAGAATCAGAAAAATAATGACATTCCCTTGTACACTCATGATTTATTCACTAAAAAATCTTCTGGTATCTTTTTGTAGATTAATTTGCCTTCCATAGGAATCACCCTACTAGAAAGTTCTACAAGATCCCAGAATTTATTAGAATACATAGATTCCAACTCTGATTTCATAGTAACTCGCCAAAACGATCTGTATCCATATCGGTTCACGCTTCCGTGTAGCTTACTGGGTCCAACTCATGTTTAACAGGGATGTCCATAATGGTCTCACCTAAAAACATGATTCTGTCGGATTGGATAATAATCCTCCCACTACATTAATGTACCGATGCAGGAATCTGTGTACTAGATGATGCTGACGCATCAATAAGGAATTCATTTATTATTCTCAATCTCTATTATAATAAGTGTGTTCATATGTGGTACATCTGGTACTCATTCCATATTCTCTAACACTATGCTACTAGGTATATGATTCATAATATGATTCTCCTATAGATAAACAGTGAGTGTAAACAATCAACTTTTATCATTGAGATCATAAAATAATTCGTCCTAGTGACCTTTAGAGTAGCTATCAAATCTATCATGCGTATGATCTGTTTCCAACTTACTTGTCCATATCAAGCGCACATGTGCAAGACTACCCCATATGTGCATGTGATTCAAACTAAGATTTAGTCAAAAACACAGCTCAACGGTATCCTTGAGACAGACTAAGATGGAATGCAGTTCATAATGCGCATCGATGTCATTAACGCTAAACTCTTAAATGAAAGAGATAATGTGGCATAACGGATCATAGATCTAACCATGTTAAGTGGAATTCTGTTATTCCTATTTGACACCTAAATGCATTTAGCGTCAATTGCGAAAAACTGGTACACAACACCCTCATTGACCATATAGTCTTTGCACTATCCCAAGAAATACTCATATCCTCGATAAGACCGAAGTTTCTTGATAAGTTTACCTAATCTGTGCTCCACATCAGTCTTGACACTCTCGGAATATACCAAAAGTATAAGACTTGTATCGCAACAGGTAAATTTATCCAAAACGTGAGTAATCTTGCTTGGATGTTCATAAGACCACACGTGTCAATGTGTACCAACTCCAATTGTCCTTTTTGTCTATTTCATCTGGCTGATTAAGCCCTAAGAGTTATCTATCCTTCAAAACAGGGTTCACAAGTTTGGTTTAGGCTCCTCTGCCTCACTAGGTAATTGACCTTCTTTGACCAATCTTTGAATCTCATTTTGACTGATTACAACCCAAAAATAGATGCTAAAAATACAATGAGTCGGGAATAACAATTTTTCTCTTAATATTCAATCTAGAAGATGCAACATTAGTTTCTACATCCTGCAAATCTTAAGAGTTTGTGATTATAGTATATTAACCATCTTTCAATGCACCAGAAGCAATCGCATATCTATTCAATTTTATAAAACCAATTTTACTAAATAACAACACAGTTTTTATAAGCCACAAGTGAAACAAGAATTAGATAGTGTCTAACTTCTGTGTATAAAGATAGTTCTCTAATACTAATATCCTCATACTCTCTAATTTCAGATGTAATACTCTTACTGACTTAGCTACAACCTTATCATCGGATCAAGTACAAATATATTTCATATCATCGAGACTTCTGGATTCCTGAAATCCTTGCAACGAATTGCAAACATGTTTAGTGGCTCCAGAATCTATCCATCAGGAATTAATAGATACAACCACATAACATGGCTCAATGATTAAATATATATTTTCCTATGCCACGTCATTGCTTAGACAGTTCGTCTTTGAGTGTCATAGTTAGCGGCAAAAGAAACAATTTCCTTCGCCCTCAACATACACTGTCTTATTTCCTTTAACCTTTTTGAATACCCATGTTTTGTGCTAGCCTAGTCCTATTATCATCCTTCTTCTTTGCTTTGCCAGTCCACTTGGGCCTAGAAGAAGATGGTATAGACTAGGTTAGATTGATAAAAACGCCCATACTCTTAATTATCCCTTCATCTGTTACCAATTCTATAAGAATATCAGCGAGTGTGAACTCAAACTGATTCCTTATTTAGTTCACTCTAATAGAGTCGAACGAGTTTGGTAACAAGGCAATAATTATGTCAACTTAAAACTTACCACCCAAGTCAGCCCTATTGATCTCCAGCTTATTTTTAAATAATAAACAATCATTTTCCAAAATTCGATTTCATACTGGAGTTCCTTAGGCTATCTTGATGCTATTCAAGTCTGACATAGTACTTTGGCATACTCTCTATCTAATCTCACCAAAACATCTTATTGAATTTTAACATGATGCTTGAAGAACATAAAATAATGTAAATGTTAGCTTTGGAGCGTATTCGAGGTAAACTCTAGAATATTGCACCAAGTCATCTCATTTGCCTTATTTCACTTATTCAAAGCATTAATGTTCTCTTGGGTATCTTAAAGTAAAAGGATTAGGTTTAGGAGTAGTAAATACATTTGTACCCTTACATTGTGAATAAAATATCTAAGTTCCTTTCTCAGTCAATATTAATGAGATCCAATTACATTGAATATGTAAGCAAGCAGATAAACTGGATTAGACATAATTAATCTGAATATAAATGCATTCATACAATATGCAAGGTGAATTATTAATACTGTCATGCATATTTAAAATTAAAATGAGCTTGTTAACCACATAATATAATAAATCTCAATCGAACAAGAGATCATTATCATTATTGGTGAACAATCCCTTTTAATTAATGCGAGTCCCTCAACTCTGTAGCATAATAAATCAACCAATCAATATGTCAATAACTTATCCTGTTCGAAGAGTTCATTATTACTATTGTTGAGATTCATTTACTATTAGGCGAGCACTTCCATTAAAATAGTATGTGGGTCCCTTAACCACTGCATGAAAAATCGAATAACCAATACGCCAATAACTTATTCGGTTGGCGAAGTTCATTATTGCTATTGGCGGGCAAATCCCATCATTTCCATATTTCTTAAGACAATGTCTTGTCTATCTATATGAAATGATTCCCGATTATGTTTAGTCTTTCTAAAATCACCTAGTATAGACCACTCCGTTGGGGAGCTAACACTATTGATTTTAGATTGAGTGTATAATGTTATTAATGCTCTAATGAAACATAAAACATTAAATATCTTGTCATTATAATCTACACTCTTTAAATCATACGTAGGGCCTTATTTTTAAAGATCTAATTACAATGAACATTTAACATTATTATTTTCATGAGATAACCATTCTTGTAATATTAAGACTCTTCAAATCATGCGTTGGGCCTTATTTTTGAAGACCTAATTACAATGGTGTTAATAATGAAGGTCATGGGGCAATGTATAAAAATCCCCGCTCCCACTCAATTTTAATCATTCATAATTAGGGTTTTCATGATATAATGTATGCAAAACGTCTTGATTTTAATCCAATTAAATTTAGAAAATATTTGGACTTTAAATGATTCACTAATATTTAATTTGAAGCACACTTTAAAAATAATTTATAAAAAATAATTTTGCATTTCCCAATAAGTGCCTTCAAATTAATTAGTAATCAGATCCACTTAATTTTCATAATTTAATTAATATAAATCAAGTCATTTAATTAAATATCATGGATCTAATGCATGAATAATAACTAATTAACAATTATCTATTCCATGCATTTCATACATCGCATAATTAAATAAATGACAAATAAAGCAAATAAAATGGCCAATGGAATCAGCTTTTAACATTTAATTGCTCTAAGTATTGTGCGAGGGTCCACCACCGACTTGTAAACACCTGTATAGAGCTGGTACGCGCTTGCGGAGGCAAAACAGCACTTGGAACACGGCCGGAGGGCCCCACACGCGCTTATACGCGCCTAAGGCATGCACCAGGTGAAGGTACGCGCCCCCACGCACTGGCACGAGCTTGGGGCGCATGGGACGCGCCCCCACGCGCAGGCACGCACCAGGGCACGTTGGACGCGCCTCCACACGCGTGGAGGTAATACAACTTTGGCTGGTGCGTGCAATGCACGCGCCAGCATGTGATGCAAATGCCACCTCCTGGCGCGTGTTCCTCACGCGCCAGGCTCACCCTCTATGCACCACATCTGATTCCAGCCTCCTCCAACGCCTTTTCTCGCCGCCAACGATGCTCCAGCCACCGGAAAAACGCCGAAAAATTCCCAGAAAAATCAGAAAAATTCCCAGAAAATTAAATTAAGCCTCAAAAAATTCCAAAAAAATTCGGAAAAATTTCAGAAAATTACTGAAGCATAATTTAACCCTTTTGGACCTTCTTGAAACTTCATAGCATCCTTTGATGAATATTACATGGCTTTAAAAATACTTACAACTTGAAATACAATGAAAAAAATTAAATTACATCATTGAACTTTCAAACGGCTAAATCAAAGCCTTAATTACATTTATCCAAAGATAAAATTACATTCAATTATCCTATAAGCTTCATCCATGGCCCAAACACACATCATCATCCATTCATAATTATACATACATCATTATATATCAATATATATCAATATATTAATTCATACATCAATATACATTAATAAATAAATATATATGCATATCAAAATTGGATCCATAAATGATGGTTTTCATAAAATCATGATCTCTAGTGATGAATCAAACCATGCTTTGATACCACTGTTGGGAAACGTGCAAGTTTTAAAAACTTTTCGAGGGATTTTGATTCATAGATCTTGATTCATCACATAGAGACAAGTTTTATACAAAAATAAAAATATGATGTATCATTCAATTAATGGATTGAATACTTACATCAAAGGTCTGAGTAAACCTTTAAATCTTTCCTCTAAAGTGAATGTTCTCACTTATTGTAGATCCCTTAGCAAGATGCATTTTCCTTCTATCTCCATCTTCTTGGTAATTGTTTTGCCTTTAGGAATCACTAATAAACCTCCATGAATGACCTTGGAAAACTAGGCTTGTGGGAGCCTCCATTAGATGAGAATATAAACCCTAATTTTCTAGAGAGAGAAAATAAATTCCTTTTTCGTTCTTCTAAAAATCATCCCCAAAATATATATAGATCATGTATATTTATAGGCAACATAAAGGTAAAGAAAAGGAAACAACGAATCCTTCTCAATTTATAATTTACATGTCTCAAATCTAATATGATTCCAATATCAAGTTGGGCTATGAGCGAGAATCCATTGGGCCTATTATTTTATTGGCTACAATGAATTAATAATTGGCCCGATCCATGAACCCAATTCAATTAATTCATAAATTAATTTCTACTCCACTAAAAGAAATTAATTGAACTCCAATTAAATAATAAATAACCTCTAAGTTAATATTACACTTTGACCCCTCTATGCATAATTAGTTATCGGATAAATAAAGCTATCAATCCAACTACTTAATTAATATATTTATTTTGGTAAATTTGATTATTTCTGACTTGATCACAATAAAACATTTGTTTGAAAAAATAATAATTTAAATAAATAAATATATAATAAATCATTTTGTCTAAAAACACACGAAGGCTTTCGAATTTACTTTGTGATCAACCATAATCAATACAAAATAAATACAAGTAGCAATGATGCAAATATTGAAAATATAACCCTCTAACTATTAATCACATAACTACCCAAAGTGTCGGTCTAAGGATCCCGAAGAATCCGCCGAACAAATCAAAGTAATTATTAATTAATAAAAGAGTCTATAATTTTCTCATGCTTAAGAATCAAATGTCATGACGATGATAGGGAGCAATTGCATATGACGGCTCTCGCAATATATCTCAACCTAACGCGGATCCAGTTCAAGTCTTAATTAATTATGAGTCCATCCATAATTACCGACTATGAACAATTTATAATTACTATTTATATATCATGCATTGATTGCCATCACTTATATATATATATAAATATTTCTTGTAATCACAGGGACACTATCAATTTCATAGTGAATCGAAACATAATACATTGAATTCACCAATTATATAAATCATAAATATTTCATATATGTCAGGAACATATGTCACTATAATCCAGATAGGAATTTGCTATGCCAGGGCATATAAATCCCAACAATGTCAAGCTAGAGATTACTACTTGAGCGCCTGAATTTCGTTCCTGCCCCTTGAAGCTCTGTTGCAGTTGGTACCTGCACATATTTCACTTTATATGCTTCCGGCCTTAGAGATGATGGTAAGTAACATAACCTCAGCAAATCAACAAAATGCCTTACTCCAGAACTTGAAATTGACTCATTCATGTCACTGAGAATAATATGAGAAACTTTGAAGTAGTTGATGGAAAGATGAACGAAGGAAGAGGATCCTCGGAAGACTAAATCGAAGAGACCCTCAAGAATAAAGAAGGGAAGTTGATTTTCAATTAAGATCATGTCTTGTTTTACATTACTCATCGAAAGTTTCCTATTTAAGTAACTGGTATTTTCGTCGATACAGAAATTGAATCTCCAAATGACCTCAATGATGAAACTGCTATCCAAAAGAACCATTTTAACAAATTCATCACTCTGCATAATAACTTCGAGCTCTTTCTTCCCATTCCTTTGCCACCCTTATACAACTCTTCAAAGTCATGCGATGATCAGCACGATTAAGGAATGACTGAAAATATCTGGGTTTAAACTCTTCCATGGCTTGTAAGTGTTCTTTACCGCGATGAAATGGACCGATGGAAACCACCCCAGGTGCGTAAGCATTTTCATTTATTTCACGCATTCTCTTGGGTACTATATAGATACAACAATCATTTGACAGAGGAGGCAGGCCATCTATCATTTCTCTCATTGAATCAAACAGTGGGATGTCAGAATCTTCTTGAATATCAATTGAAACATAGTCTTCTCTCTCATTCATCCCATGGCTTCTTGTATTATTGTGCCCTCTTTCCATCGATGTGATTTCCTAGTGCATTAATAGAAAAAAAACGCAATTAAGACACATTAGGCACAAAATATACACTATATATATATATATATATATATATATATGATCTGGTAAACGACTTTACTACCGAGCAATTATATTATACATATAGTAGCATTTCTCCAACTCAAATCATGTTCTTACGATTTTTTTTTTTTTTTCAATCTTTTGTGTGTGTGAATATACATATATATTCGTATTGCCAGATTAATATATATAAGCATAATGACTACAGTACACATCACCATGCTACAACTTGACTAGGTTGCGGTCTTGCAGAGCTCAAGATGCAGAACATTCTTTGAAAACAAAAAGGGTTGTGCATGAATAATGGTTTTGATTCCATGCCTTTATTGTACAGAATGTTAAAGCAGCCAATAATTAAGAATTGGAAATATCTAATTCCAGATATTAAATCACAAATTATATTTGTTATGTTTAATAACATTTTCCTAATGGAATATGTATTACGAGAATGAAATCGATATTAAATTTTATGTACGAAAAAAGAAAAAAAAATCAACACTAAATTTTCAATATAATTATTCTGCTTAACTAGCAGAATATTCCTTCACAAATCAACAGCATGAAACTATGTTAACTTGGATCAAATTGTGATGCGATAAATATGAAGAGCGAGAGAGCTAGAGAGAGAGAGAGAGATGGAACTTGTTCTCGGACAACAAAGCAAGGTAACGGAAAAAGGATGAGAAGAAAACGCCAGAAGAACTCAGTTCTCTTGAAAGACACCAATAATTAACATGCCAGAAAAATGAGTGGCCGTGGTGAAGCCCTCATGGTACATATATATGGTACTAAAAAGAAAAAAATAAAAATAATTCTTTTGTGAGACACCAAGAAATTGACTGTCTACCTAACCATCATTGACTTGCAACATTGGTCTCCCACTTAAAAATATTTAGGTAAAGCGTGAAGAAAATCACTGGAATTGTTATTTTTTTTTGCAAGTAATTTTCTAAAATAAAAATTGTCCCCTTGAACTATTAATTTGTTACAATTAAATATAAATTCATCACAAAATATTATTTTAACGCTTCTTATTAAAATTTTAATTTGCTATTCAATTATTTTTATTATCTTTTCTCCTATCTAAATATTAATTATACTATTTATCTAATTTTATTATTAGAATCAATTTATCATAAAAATGAAAAAAAAAAAAATAGATTTGTAACTACCATTTTTTAAAATGAATAACTTATTATTAATATTTTATTATTTATAATCAAACTTATTATGACTAGTTTGAACTTATTACCGTAGAAAAATATTTTCTTTTTCATACAATATATATTGATGAAAAATTAATAAATTACTTACATAAAAAATACCATATTTTTCATGAAATATATTCATGAAAAATTAAAATATTTATTAAATTTTTTAAAAACTTTCTACTAGAGATTTTTATCTAAACAATTAATTTCAAAAATTAGATGTGAATTTATGCAAATTTAATGGAGAATATGTCATCAAATTAATATGAATTTTTTTCATAAATTATTTAAATAAGAAAATTTATTTATAGTACAACATAACAGTTAGAATTGAACATTTATGACATAAAATGAAACTTGATGGACCCTAATCAATTGAGTATTATTTTAGTTTAAAAATTTTGTATGGTTTAATTAACAAGGTATTATGAGTTCACATTAAATTTTTTTGATGGATATCTTGAAAAAGTAAAAGAATATGCTTGATGCCTAGCATAATTACGCGAGAAGAAATATATATATTAAGCAAATGCTAAACAATAAAAAAATAAAAAATTGTTAAAATAATAAAAGCTTACCAAATCCTCAATGCTTGAGAAATTTTGTGTACTTCACCAAGTCTCAGGTTCACTACATTATTATAACCACACTGATTTCACCTTCCGAGGATTTCTCAGGATGCTGTCCAGGCCGCCCATATCCTCTGTGTATTAATTACAATCGTACATATAATGGTAAAAAAGGGCCTCTTTGTTCTTAAACCTTATTCCAGGAAATGTATATTTGTATTTATTAAATAAAGTGAGTGACCCTTTATTCTTAAACCTTATTCTAAGAAATGTATATTTGTTCTACAATAAATGTAGTGACGGAAGGTAAGTCTCCAATACATCAGTACTTCAAGACACTTAGTTATTGAATGAAGTAGTGGGACTCACCTAATGAGTGATCAACAAGTTGGGATGCGTGGACACGATGCTTGAAATGTTATTATAGAAGTTGAGTAAAAAAGGCGTCCTTGTTTTTAAACCTTATTCCAAGAAATGTATATTTCTATTTATTAAATAAAGTAAGTGAAGTATCTTTATTCTTAAACCTTATTTTAAGAAATGTATAGTTCTTCAATAAATGTAGTGACGGAAGGTGAAAGTCTACTTATATACCGGTGCGTTATTGAATGAGATAGTGGGATTCACCTAATGAGTAATCCAACGGTTAGGATGTGTGGGTATGATACCCTGAAATATTATAAACTATTTTATTATGGAGCCTCCAGATATTTTCTGACATGAGGGAATCAGAAGCTCAGATTCACTTTAAGTATATTTGGAATATTTTTCTAACAAATAGCAGCAAAATACTATTTTCTTAGAAAGGGTATGGACAATGGGTAAATTACCTAGCCTAATTAGTAAATTCGCTAATAAGACGCTAATTATATGCGAAATTTTGTAAAATATTTTTGTTTGTCGTTTAAGTTTGAAAAATATGGTAAAATAAGTTTATTTTTATTATTATTATTTTCCCTTGACTAGTATATAACACGTTTATTCATTTTAATGCTTTTGGGTCACTGTTTAATTCGTATTTTTATATTTTCTGAATCACGCATTTATTTTATTTTTAATATTTTTGGGTTACCATTTAATTCGTGTTTTTATATTTTCGAATAACCTAATTATTTTTTCTTTCTAATAATGTATAGAAGGAATATGTTGGCACATGCAATGTTGGATAATAAGGAAAACACAATGATGATGGAAATTTCAAGACATAAGAAGCACACGATTTTGAGTCAATTAATTATCTGGACAAACTTTAGTGACATTTTTTTTTTTTTTTTAATATGTTTATCATGAAGAATGGGAGGATTATAATAAAGGAAACTGACTTATCCTTATCTTTATTTTGTATTATTCAAATTGATTATTAGTTGTAAATAGCAACGCTAGTTTATAGGATCTGTAACAAACATTTTGTTGCTCTCTGTTGTATTTATTCGTTTGTTGTGTAATGAAAAGAATGGTGTGTGGAATTAAACAATTCATCCATTCTCAATTCTATCATGGTATCAGAGCGTCTCTAAGTGATAGCTGATCCTATTTCTCCTTCCTATTTTTTTTTTTTTTCTCTTTTCATTTTCTAGCAGCCATGACCAACACAACCCCAATCACCATTCAAAACACCAATGAAACTAATACCACCCTCATCACCATTAACGTGGCTGCACAAACCCCTCTTAAACTCACATCCAGCAACTACATCTCCTGGAAGCTACAATTTAAAACATTATTCATTGGCTATGACCTACTAGGCTATATTGATGGCTCAAAACCATGTCCAACAGCCACCCTCACCTAGGAAGGCACCACCAGACCAAATCAAAATTATATTCTTTGGATTCGACATGACCAGCTAATCCTTAATGCCATCATTGGCTCCATCTCCCCAACCATTATTCCGTTCATTGCTCAAGCCAAAACTTCTTGTGAAGCATGGACCATCTTGGCCAACATATATGCCAAGCATTCTCGTAGACGCATCAAACAGGTTAAAAGTCAACTAAAGAAGATCACAAAGGGGTCTGAAAGTGTGACTGAATTTATGCAGACAATAAAAGCAAGAGCTGATGAACTTGCTCTTCTTGGAGCACCACTTGATACAGAGGATCTTACAGAAAAAATTGTCGATGGGCATGGTGATGAGTACAAGGAACTGGTTTGTGCTGTCCAAACCAGGGATACTTCAATTTCCTTTGAAGAGCTTCATGAAAAATTGCTTAACTTTGAAGCATCATTGTTGCCCACACAAATAGCACCATCTCACTTTCCTGCTACTGCAAATCCCACCAGCAGAAACACAACAAATTGGCGTCCACCATCAGGCTCCGGAAGCAACAATACCTCCTGGCGCTCCAACAACAATCGAAATTTCACATCAACAAATGGCGAACTATAATACCCCTAGTTTTGAAAGGGATATAATCAGAATTTTATTATTTATTTTATTGTTTTCAGCATTTATTTTATTATTTTTAGGTGCTTATGTGGCTATGTGTGAAATTTGAATTACGTGATGTGTGAATTGACTGGTTAGTTTAATTTAATTATATGTTTAATTTGTATTTAATTGGCTTACTTGTATTTTTGTTTTATTTTGATCTCACTGTTGTAAGGAATTGTTTAATTAGGTAATTAAGTTAAATGAGTTTTTTTTTTGAATACATTCAGTACTTAGGGTTCTTTGAGAAGTCACGTATTTTGGCTGACGTAGATTTTAATTAGGGTTTTCTATGGGCCGACTAGGATTTAGTGTAGGGTTTGAATTGAACCTAGGTCTTGTGTAAACCTATAAATATAGGTATTAAGTTCTACCTAGGGTTTTAGAACCCTATTCACGACAGTGGAGGCAGGTAAGGAACAGAGGAGGATTTCCTAGTTCGCCGGAGAAACTTAAAAGACGACGTTGGGATTTTTGAACCGAAATCTCAAAGGCAAGTTCTAATCCTAACTCTATCCCGTTGACTTGTGTTCTTTGCATGTCTAATGCAACTCCAGGAATGTATAAGAATTAAAAGTAAACTGGATTACATGTCTTTGTTATTTTCCACTGAAGGTAGCCATGAGTTATACTGCTTGTTTTATGGTTTTTCGTGTTCAACTCATAAAATAATTCACGTAACTGGATGTATAATGCATGTGAGCTGATATACAAAGAATTAAATTAGCTTGTAACACTGGAAAGTATGAATGTGAATCTGGTTTATATGTTTAGGTGCATCTGCAACTGTATGTGTTTGCTTGTTTCATATTTGCTTGTTTTATTTATTTCTTGAATTTTTCTATTCTAAATAGAGTGGATCTAAGATTAATGGTTTTTACAATATCTAGGACATTGGAACTTAGTTTTACTTAGTAAAATCATTAGAGCTGAGGACTGATCAAACTAGACGTCACCGGAGAAGACGTAGTTGAAGAGAAGAAGCCGAGAGGAGGGGAGGAGGTTGGAGGCGGCTCCATGAAAACATGGAGCCGGCTCAAAGTGCCTTGGAGGCGGCTCCAAGTGATTTGGAGCCGGCTCCATCTTGGTTGGAGGCGGCTCCAACTTGTTTAGAGCAGCCTCTCTTCAATTCTTCAGTTTTCTGGGTTTTGGGGTGATTGTTTGGGCTGTGGTGCTCAAATTTTGGGATTTTTAAGTTCTGGTAGGAGATGTATTGAGGTGTTTTGAGATGATCTAACTCCATATTATAACTTCTAAAAGTTGATTACTGTATATTAAAACACCATTGTTCAGGGTGATACACAACATAAGTCGGTATATGAAAATCCGGATACTGTCATTGGAGATGAAGAGTTTAACTGCTTAAAAATAGATTTGGCATATTATTATGGATGGTTACACCCTGTTAATCATAGAACTGTGGTAGGAACAAGTATGCTTAAGCTTTAAATACTGCTAGCTACGGATTATCTGACGTATAGAATTTAACTTGTTTCAGTTAGTGTTGGTTTGGTATAAAATGAAGCATGTGAATTGATATATTCTGTTGCGCTATCTTGGAGCTAAATTGATGTGTATATGTATGACATGTATGATCAATTACTGGAACTTAGTTACTCTGTTATACTTAATGGAAACCTAGTTGCTAAATATACAGTATTGTGTCTTATAAACTTATTGAATATCTTGGAATAGTTTAAAGTGAGCATGTTAATTCTGATAATGTTATTATTATGCTCATAGTGGATTACAGAATAGATTATACCTATTCTCCGTATTTTAATCTTATTGGAGAATCATGTTACCGGATGGAAAGAACTAAATTGCTTAAATTAATTTAGCAATTGTTTGGACTATAACATGATTATAAAACTTATTTAAATGCATAATAGAATTGTTGATTTATTAAAACTGATCTATGCATGCTCTGGATGCTGGTTGTTGAACTATTAAACCATTTCTTGCAATTACATGGTTTAGATCTTGGATTTAAATTGTTGAAACTTTAATTACTTTTCTGCAATGATATGGATATTTGGTTTTGGACTGTAAATTACTTGCTTATTATTTATATGTTGTAATTTACATGGATATGGAGGATTGTATGCACAGGCATGGGACGATGACATCTTAGGTATGGTTTAGCTCAAAACGCTAATTCCTACCTTATGGATTTTAATTAGTGAACAACTTTACCTGTTCTATCAATTATATGGATTTTATGGATTGTATGCACCGGTATGGGACGGTAGCATACTAAGGACAGACTGATTCAAAATACTCAGTCCTACCTATTTTGGAATAAGGGTACGAATTATAAAAACATAATTCTCCTTATATTTAAGTCTGTGTGGTTGAATAAGCTGAACGACTTATTGGATCTCTTATATAAGTCTGTGCGGTTGAATAAGTTGAACGATTTATTGGATTTCCTATGGATGGATATAAATAGATTTTAAATATATTTTTATAGTACCATGAAATGAGCTTGAGTCTCAGACTCATTGGTTAGGGTGCGTATATGTAGTATGATGCGTAGCTGGATATGAGAAGTTGAGGTGTACTCTGTTAGGTCTAGGTACTCATGCCCACCTATGGGTACGTTTTCGCATGTTGCCTTCTATTCAGGTTGAGACCCTTTCCATAGTCCAGTGAGAGTCCTGTAGTGTGAATATACATACGTATAGACTAATAACTATT